GTTAGCTAATTTAATAATTACTTTAATTAATTATAAAGCGGGAAAAACGGTCTCCTAGTGCAAAAAATATTGGATTTAAAGCAAAAACAGAGATGCTACTAAACAATTTTTTTTAAACATGTGCTGGATTGCCAATCTTTGTGAAATTTCCCACACTTATATAAAAATTAACGCAGAATTCAAAAATACAACACACATTGCGGTAATCTGGCTAATTAAGGAGATATTTACGAAATTACTTACCATTAATTCACTGCGTGTTGCCAAAAAAAAATCGATTTTTTTTTAATACGCGTCTAAACCACCTCAGGTCAAAGCCTGGCATCTCTCCAATAACTTCTAATAACTGTTCCGATTTTATCTTTCACGTAAAGAGCACAGAAAAAATAATTTCTCAATAACGGACAATTCGTTTTGCATTTTCGGGTCGCAGTCGCGTATATAGATACCGACGAAAATGTATAGCAAAAAAAACGAAACAAAACGACCCATCGCTATACCTATATATAGCATACTTGAAAAAAAAATCAGCCAAAAAATATTAAAATAGTTATCGAGCATACTTTAAAAATGTTTTATATTATATTAAACTGACCTTGTTTAGTTTCACACCAGGTACCCACATATCCTTGTGGACATTGACACACTCCAACAGTTCCACTGGCTACACATTTACCTCCATTATAGCAGATGAGTTTGCTGCATGGATCTGTGGATGAAATCCCGCTCACCGTCAATGTTTTTATTAATTATTAGCATTATAATAATCATCATTATTATCAACATCATTATCACCCCCCCCCCCCCACCTCCATATTTGTAACATTATAAATAAAGTAATAAACATCAGCGTTGACAAAGCATTCGTAGTCTCAGTCTTATCACTTTATTCAAGCCACCAAAACGTTTAATGTGTTCAGAGTATTTTATTTTTCAAGACACTGTGCTGTTCATGGGCCAGTTTTCTTCAATGTTGAGACTTTGTAGGGTTTGAGCATTTGTTAACATCGTTCCTCATGTGGATTCTGTGGCTCCATTTTGAAGAACAATGAATGCATCAACTGCTCGTTAACAAGCATATCGTAAGAGATAAAAAAAAAAACTAGAGGTGTTTCTTTTAAAGTCGAAATGCATATATCTGAGAGACAATAAATCATCAGTTTGCATACACGTATACCCTATTTGTTAAACGTATATGCACGCAAAATTAAAGTTTTAGGGCAAGATTAAAGTTCAGAAGTAGACGAACAATCATAACTTTCCCACGTAGTTTTCAGCAGGTAGACGATAAATACATAAAGAAGAAGAGATAAATCCTTATCCATGGTGTAGCAATAATGTGTATTTAACCACTATACCAATAGGTCCGGGCGAATCCCTAAGACCTACATTGTTGTGAGAGGCCAAAGATGCTGCATTGGATTCCATTCATGACATTGAGAAGATTGCACAGGATAGAGTAGAATCTACGACTAGACTGTGAGCCTTGTCTAGTAAATGACGACACAATAGGATGTTTACGATAGGGGCTAAAACTAGAACCATTGTCGCCATCTTCTACATCATCACCACCACCACTACCATCATCATCATCATAATCATCATCATGGATCATGTCAGTAATTTTATATATTGTTGTAAAGTAGAACTATCAAAAAAATTATCAACATCATCATTATCATCACTACCACCACCACCACCACTACCATCATCATCATCAAATGCTATGCAAATAAGTTTATAATTTTGTCGTAAAAAACATCGCAAGAAACATCATTATCACCATCATCATCTTCTTCATCATCGTAATCTCTATATTTATCCTTATAGTCATCACCAGCATCACCATAATCATGACCATTATCATCATTATTATCATCATTATCATCATCATCATCAATATCACCATCACCATCATCGTCATCATCTGTATCACCACTTTCACTATCATCCCCACCATCACCATCGTCACCACCACCATGTTCATCAAAATCACCACCACCACCATCATCATTACCATCATCATCATCCTCATCATCATTATCTTTATAAACACAAGAGTCATCGTCATTTTCATCATCATTAGCACAAGCTTTATCACCATCACTAAAATCATTATCATCATCACCACCACTATCATCATCATTATCGTCGTCACCTTTCTTTTTAACATCATCCTCATAAACTGAGCTAATAAAATATATAAATATAGACTGTCCAAGTTTGCATCTAGTACGATCATAAAAACCAAGGATCAGATTAGTGTTTTTCCCGCCTGAGCTATTTAGAGAAGAAAAAAATCATTTATTTATTTAAGTTCATTTTTCGACACACACAACATCTTCAAATTAAATTATTTCAAACAAAAAAGCATCGATTTCGTCTTCATTGGTTAAAAAATAATGTATCGTTTACCACTGTACAATTACATAAAGCGTATCGGGCATATGGGAAGAATACCCATATTTTTAGAGACCAATCAGCGCTAGGTGGATAATGTGGTCAGAATTACGCTGACCGGTTTTACTTCCCCGGGACACACAACCTGGTACCTATTTTAGGCTTGGTCGATCTGCGACGCCCCATACCACACAAAACATAGAACCAGAAATAAAACAGCACTGATAAATACGATTTTCTCGTAGTGTCTTTTTGTATCATAAACTGACCTTGCTTCGTTTCACACCAGGTACCCACATATCCCTGTGGACACTGACACACTCCAACAGTTCCACTGGCTACACATTTACCTCCATTATAGCAGATAACATTGTTGCACGGATCTGTGGAAAAATACAGGCACTTTCATGATCACTATATCTGGCTTTTTAAATTTATTTTTCTTGCCCTTCTATTGTTTTTTTTTTTTAAATTTATTTATTTTACCTATAAAATACAGAAGACTGTGGGCAGATATAATTACCATCTCCGCACAAACTGGACTATCTTAAAAATAACTGAAGTCCTCTACACGCCTGTTTGACTAAATCGGGATAATGCCAGTCTAATTTTTTGGGTGATATTGTACTCGAAGATTCCCAAAGACGTTTCTTACACTTACTACATGACGCGAAACATGGGAATCTGTACGGAGCATTCAAGTCTTCACATGTTTCAGAATGCATTATGAGTCCGTTGCAATGATGTCATGCGTGTGCATCTGCTTCTTCAATTACCAGAAAGATACAATGATCGGATGCAACTAGATTCTAGATGTTCAAAAAAGTATCATAGGCCAAGTTTTCTAACAGTCAAGTCCGTCCATTTGATTTTACTTTCAGTCTAACGGGACTTCTTTCCTCTCTCAAAATAAAGTCATATATACGTATAGTGACATGACGCAGAGGAAAAAATATCATATGAAATAATCTAGATTCATTAAAAAAAATCATAAATTTAAAAAAAGAAATCCACAATTTATGTACGCAGCTATTTGAATGGTGTTTTATATTATGTAAAACTGACCTTGTTTAGTTTCACACCAGGTACCCACATATCCCTGCGGACATTGACACACTCCAACTGTTCCACTGGCTACACATCTACCCTCATTGTAACAGATGACTTTGCTGCATGGATCTTTGGACGAAATATAATCAAAATCATGCTCAGTAGCATTTTTACAAATATTTTTTTATTGGCATTAAAATCATCATAATCATCAACATTATTATCATAACTGTCTGTTTGCCAGAGTTATGTTATCACAGTCGACGTCACTGCATATTGGGCATTCCCATAGATGCAACAAGGTCCTCTACTGACTGTTCGCTAAGGAGCTTGTTTTAATGTCGCCTATCCACGCCACCACGGCGGCATAGACATACTACTTCTTTTTCTTCTTCAGCATTCCTAGCCCTTGAGGTTCATTGCTGCAGAAATCACCCGCCTCCATGCACCACTCTGGTTGGTCTTCTCTTTCCAGTTGGTAACACCAAGTGCTTGCAGGCCTGTCTGGACATTATCTCTCCATCGTCTTCTTGGTCTGTCTCGTTGTCTACGACCAGTCATCTCCCTTGTGTATACAGTATACAGACATGCAACGCTATGCTTTAACTCGGTGTCACATAATCCAGTTAGTGTCAGAGTATTTAGTCATCTATACATGGTACTGTGTTCTGAGCCAGCTTCTCCAATGTTCAGACATGGCAGGGTTTCGGGAAATGGTAACGTTGTAATCCATGGTATTGTATTACATTTTATGTAGACACTACCACCACCCGTCCAAGAGAAGTCCTAAGTCGAACATTGATGAGAGATGCCAAAGGGGCTGAACATGATTTCATTCATGTCATTGAAAAGACTACACTGGGTAGCATGGAATTGAATCAACAACTAGACTGGGAGCTTTGTGTTTTGTGTGATGCATGATGGCACAACAGGATGATTATGATGAAAATTGCCACCACAGTCATCATTATCATTAAATCATAATTATCATCATCGCCATCATCATCATCGTCAGCATCATAGACTATGCCAATAAAGTTACATTTTGTGTGTGTTAAATAAAACCACCGCAAATCATTACCACCACCACAACAATCATCACAATCATCATCACATTCATCATCACTATAATAATCATAATTTCACTACATCATCAGCACCACTACCATCATTATCATTATCATGGTCCTCATCGTCATTGACAATGCCAGTAAGTATAAATACTTGCTGTAAAATAAAACCATCACCACAGTCATCATTATCTTCATCACCACCACCAACACCATCATCATAACCAACCATTTCAACATCGTCATCCTCATCACCATCAACATCATTATCATCATCACAACTATCATCACCCAATAGTGGCACTTTGTGTCACCGGGTGTTTAACTCTTCTTGTGCGGTCCTGGTGGGGTAGAACGTCACTCACTCCATAGACATGCTGTATGGGTTACACCTGTACAGTAACGTAGAACCAGAAGTTGAAAAACAAAAACAGTAGTGATAAATACAAGTTTCCTAAAGTGTCATTTTGTATCACAAACTGACCTTGTCTAGTTTCACACCAGGTACCAACATATCCTTGTGGACACTGACACACTCCAACTGTTCCACTAGCTACACATTTACCTCCATTGTGACAATTGACTTTGGTGCATGGATCTTTGGACAAAATACAATAAAAATCATGCACACTATCACTTCATTTTTTCTAAGCACTGTAATCATCAGCATTATCAGCATATCATCAAAATATTTGTCATTACTATTATTCTTTTTGGGGTGGGGGGGGGGGGTTTAAAAAGAAACATGATAAACATGTGCTTAGTCCTTTGATACAGCAGCCACTCCAAGGTACCTCTTATGAGAATTCCAAAGAGCAGCTGGTTATAATTTCTCCTAATTCGGTCTAGAAGGTAGATTTGACGTGCTTCACCATATTTTACTACTGTGTCATGCAGTCGGTTTAATATCTGAGCATTTCAGTTTTTAATTAATTGTATTTGTTTTTGAGCAAACTTTCGTCAGTGTTCATATGTTGTAGAATTTCAGGATTTGCTAACATCGTTATTGATGGCATTCTATTTAACACCTATCATCGCCCATCGAGGAGAAATCGTAAGAAGAACTTTGCTGAGTGAGCCCAAAGGGGATAGAATCGATTCAACCCATGATACTGAGAAGGCTGTGCTGGATAGAATAGAGTGGATGACGAGTGTGATGTATGACGTCACAACAGGATGATTACGATAAAGGCTACCATCACCACCATCGCTATCATCTTTCATTATCGTCATCATCATTATCTGTATGGACCATGTTAGTAAGTTTATATATATATATATATATATATATATATATATATATATATATATATATATATATATATATACATATTGTAAAATAGACTCAATTCCACAACCACCACCACCACCAGCGTCATCATCGTCATCATCCTGGACTATACTAAAAATATATATACATATAGACGGCCAAGGTTTGCCATCTTACACGATCACAAAAATCGTGGATCAGATCAGTGTTTTACCAGCCCATGTCATGATAAATACCATTTTCTTGGCGGGTCATATTGTATCATAAACTGACCTTGTCTTGTTTCACACCAGGTACCAACATATCCTTGTGGACATTCACACACTCCAACAGTTCCAATGGCTTGACATTTACCTCCATTATAGCAGATAAGTTTGCTGCATGGATCTGCGGACAAAATACAGGCACATTCATGCTCACTATAACTGGCATATGTTTTTTATTCTTCTTCTTCTTAATTATTTATTTTAATTTATCAAATACAGAAATTATGTGGGCAGATATGATTACCAGCTTTGCACAAAATGAACTATCTTAAGGATAAATGAAGAATTCGACACATCTGCTCGAATCAAACAGGCAAACATCATTCTACTTTCTCTTGGCGACATCACAATTCAAGATCCTAAGCCCGTTTGCTACACTCAAAACATGAGGCGAAACATTGGAATCTGCATGCAGCATTCATATCTTCACCTTTCTCAATAAGAAGTAACTCCACGGGGAGGCATGTACAGCAGAAGTCTACTCATCATCAGTAGAAGTGATCTCTTGTCGACAAATGTTTCGGCCCACGAGCTCCTAGGTATATTCAGAAAGTGGGCCCACCTGAGTTCATGAAGCTCAGGGTTGAACTGCTCCTTGTGCACGTATTACCGGATGTTCTCGGAGAGGGACAAAACGAAATTGGTGACTGTGCAAAAGGTACTGTGAGATTCAAAGTTTATTTACATAGTCGCTGCGGTAGCATAATTAGAGCAGTCAGCTTACTTGGACGACCAAGTGGCAAGCTTACGGTTGATTTATCGGACACATGTTAGACTTTATTGGCAAGTGGCAGAGGGACACCAACAGACAATTCGGACACGATAGAACTTTAAGGGATAAGACTTTCTTTTCCACCAAATACCCAGACCAGCTCAATGAGGCCCGTCCCACACCACGTTCGATTGTGTCTAGAGCCAGCTCGTGGCCCTCTCTGCAGCCTCGCCCAGTTGTTTTAGTGATCGTTTGCGCTCATTTCCTCGCAAGTCCCATTGTTTTATTACACTGCACACCTCTTGCGCCTTCCTCGACGGCAAATAAAGAGTCCGTTACAATCAAGTCATGGGTGTGCCGCTAATTCCTCAAGCAGCGAAAAGCAACAATGTCCGGATCCACCTCCACTCCCTGTCTGGTATAGAATCACATGCGAGGCTTTCTTTCAACAAAGGCCGTTCATGTAATTTTGCTTTGAATAAAAAAGAATGTCTTCTCTCTCTAAAAACAAAGCCATATGTACATATTAGAACTTGAAATAAAAAAGAATCATTAAAAAAAAAAAATGATTCAGAGACTCTGACGTAAAAAAATAAAATTATTTAGGTGTCTAGCGTATTTGCATATTGTTTTATATTTTTTTATACCGACCTTGTTTAGTTTCACACCAGGTACCAACATATCCCTGTGGACATTGACAAACTCCAACAGTTCCACTGGCTACACATTTACCTCCATTATAGCAGATGATTTTGCTGCATGGGTCTATAGACAAGAGACAGTCAAAATCACGCCTTGTTAATGATTTCTATTATTATTAGCATTATAATCATCATATTAATCATAAACATCATTATCATCATATCTTGTTCTTTTACATCTTGAAACCTGTCCCACAATATAGAAAGTAATAAACAGCAGTGTTGATTATCAGTTCTTAGTCTGACCATACCTTTTTATGTTCAAGCCACCAAAACGTTTAATGCGGCCAGAGTTATGCTATGTTGCGATATGTTATGTTCTCACAATCGACGTCACTGCACATTGGGCATTCCCATGAGTGCTCAGTCCTGCGATACAGTAGCTTCGCCAAGATACCTTTCCTGATTGCTCTCATAAGGAGCTGACTGTAATATATCCTATCTCGGCCTCAAAGGGGAATCATAGACGTGTTTCACCATATTCCACTGTGTCTTGCAATTGTGCTAGCAAGTAAATTAAATCCATTTCCACTCCTTAGGCACATTATGCATATGGTAAGAAAATCCCATATTTTTACAGACCAATCGTCTTTAGATGGGTAATGTGGTCATCATTACGCCAGCCGTCTTTACTTCCCAGGACAATCGTGCTAGTGTCAGAGTATTTAAGCTGTAAATACTTGGTGCTGTTTGTAACATGTCTTCACTGTTCAGAAGTTGTAGAGATTCAGGATTTTGTATCATCAATATCAATGTCATCGAATTAATTTATATTTAACCACTACTATCATCCGCCCAAGAGGCCCCTTGAAGAACTTTACTGAGAGAGGAGCCTGAAGGTACTGGAATGGATTCGACCCATGACATCGAAAAGACTGCACTGTATGTGATAGAACCGACGTCCAGATTGTGAACCTTGTATAGTGCTAACGGCACAATAAGATGATTATGATGAAGGCTACTACTACCAGCATCATCGCCATCATCATCATTATTATCATTATCATCATGGACCACGTCAGCGAGTATATATATATCTATATGTTGCAGAACTAAATCACCACAACCACCACCATCATCATCTTCACAGACTATGCTAATAATATAAATGGAAATACATGGAGACGACCAAGGTTTGCCATCTAACACGGTCATAAAAATCATTAATCAGACAGATCAATGTTTCTTCTAGCTCATGTCCTGTTAAATACCTGTTTTTTTAGTGTCATATTGTATTAAAACTGACCTTGTCTTGTTTCACACCAGGTACCAACATATCCTTGTGGACATTGACACACTCCAACTGTTCCAATGGCTTGACATTTACCTCCATTATAGCAGATGAGTTTACTGCATGGATCTGCGAAATAAATAAAGGCACATTCATGCTAACTATATCTGGCTTATATTTATATTCTTCTTCTTCTTAGTTTTTTATTTTAACTTATCAAATACTAAAATACTGTGGGCAGATATGATTACCAGATTCGCACAAAATGAACTATCTAAAGGATAAATGAAGACTTCGACATATCTGCTCGAATCAAACAGGCAAACATCAATCTACTTTCTCTTGGTGGCATCACAATTCAAGATCCTAAGCACGTTTGCTACACTCAAAACATGACGCAAAAACATGGGAATCTGCATGTGGCATTTATGTATTCATCTTTCTCAGAATGAAGAGTCCGTTACTATCAAGTCATGGGTGTGCCGCTAATTCCCCAAGCAGCGAAAAGCAACAATGACCAGATCCACCTCCACTCCCAGTCTGGTATAGCATCACAGGCGAGGCTTTCTTTCAATAAAGGCCGTTCATGTAATTTTGCTTGGAATCAAAAAGAATTTATTCTCTTCTTGAGCCAAATGTACATATAATGATATTACGTGGACTGGAATTAGCATTTTAAATAATATAGAATCATTAAAAATGATTCAGAGGCTCGGACGTTAAAAATAGAATAATTTAGGTGTCAAGCGTATTGTCATTTTGTTTTATATTTTGTTAAACTGACCATGTTTAGTTTCACACCAGGTACCAACATATCCCTGTGGACATTGGCACACTCCAACAGTTCCACTGGTTAAACATTTACCTCCATTATAGCAGATGACTTTGCTGCATGGGTCTATGGACAAGATACAGTCAAAATCACGCTTTGTCAATTATTTCTATTATTCTTAGCATTATAATAATCATTAACATCATTATCATCTTTACTTGATCTTTTTCATCTTGAAACCTGTCACACAATATAGAAAGTAATAAACAACAGTGTTGATAATCAGTTTTTACTCTGACACGTCTCATATTTTGTTCCTGCCACCAAAAACGTTTAATGTGGGCAGAGTTATGCAATGTTGCGTTATGTTATGTTCTCACAATCGACGTCACTGCACATTGGGCATTCCAAAGGGTGCTCAGTCCTGCGATACAGTAGCTAGCCAAAATATTTTTTCTGATTGTTCCCATAAGGAGCTGGCTGTAATATCGCCTATCTCGGCCTGTAAGGGGAATTAAAGACGTGTTTTACCATGTTTTACTGTGTCTTTGCATCGTACTAGTAAGTAAAGTAAAGATCCCTTTTCACGCCTTAGGCACATAGGCATATGGTAAGAGAATACCATATTTTTACAGACCAATCGTCTTTAGATGTTTAATGTGGTCATCACTAAGCCAGCCGTCTTTACTTTCCAAGGACAATCGTGCTAGTGTCAGAGTATTTCAGTTCTAAATACTTGGTTCTGTTAATGAGTAACATTTCTTCACTGTTCAGAAGTTGTAGAGATTCAGGATTTTGAATAATCAATATAAATGTAATCGAATTAACATATATTTAGCCACTACCATCACCCCTCCAATAGGTCCTCTGAAGAACTTTACAGGGAGAGGAGCCTGAAGGTACTGGAATGGATTCCACCCATGACATCGAAAAGACTGCAGTGATAAAACCGACGACTAGACTGTGAGCCTTGTATAGTGCATGACGGCACAATAGGATGATTATGATGAAGGCTACTACTACCACCATCACAATCGCTATCATCATCATTATTATCATTATCTTCATGAACCATGTCAGTAAGTTTATACATATATATGTATACAGTTTTCATAAAACTAAACCACCAACACCACCACCACCACCATTTCTAGCTACTGTAATCAAGTCTTAAACTGACCTTGTTTAGTTTCACACCAGGTACCCACATATCCCTGTGGACATTGACACACTCCAACAGTTCCACTGGCTACACATTTACCCCCATTGTAACAGATGACTTTGCTGCATGGATCTGTGGACGAAATATAATCGAAATCATGCTCAGCAGCATTTTTTTGAATATTTTTTTAACTATTGGCGTTATAATCATTATATTTATCAACATTATTATCATAACTGTTTGTTTGCCAGAGTTATCACAGTCGACGTCACTGCATATTGGGCATTCCCGTGGATGCAGCAAGGTACCTCTACTAACTGTTCATTAAGGAGCTTGTTTTAATGTCTACTTTCCCCTCTTAGATAGAGGCATTGACATGCTACGCTATGCTTTAATCCCATGTCACGTAATCCTGTGAGTGAGAGAGTGTTTATTTATACATGGTGCTGTGTTCTGAGCCAGCTTTCTCCAATGTTCAGATGGTGCAGAGTTTCGGAAAATAGTAAGTTTGTAATCCATGGTATTGTAATAATTTGTATTTAGCCACTACCACCAACCGTCCAAGAGAAATCCTGAGACGAACATTGGTGAGAGATGCCGAAGAGGCTGAACATGATTTCATTCATGACATTGAGAAGACTGCACTGGGTAGAATGGCACGGAATGGACAACTAGACTGGTAGCTCTGTGTTTTGTGTGATGCATGATGGCACAACAAGATGATTATGATTAAGATTACCACCACAGTCATCACCATCATTATCATCAAATTATTATTATAATCTTCGTCATAATCATCATTAGCATCATAGACTATGCCATTAAGTTACATTATGTGTGTGTTTAATAAAACCACCACCATCATTACCACCGCCACTACAATCATCATCATCATCACTATTACATTCGTCTTCACTTTAATCATCATAATTTCACTATCATCATTACCACTACCACCATCATTATCAGCATTACCATCATCATCGTCAATGGCAATGCTAATAATTGTATATACTTGCTGCAAAATGAAATCATAACCACAGTCAAAAGCATCTTCATCACCACCACCAACACCATCATCGTATCCATACACCATCAACATCATCACCACCATCAACATCATCACCACCATCAACATCATTATCATCATCATCATCATCACCACAACCATCATTACCCAATACTGGCACTTTGTGTCACCGGTGTTTATCGCTTCTTGTGGGGACCTGGTGGGTTGAACGTCGTTACATTCATAGATTAGGACATGTTGTATGGGTTACACCTGTACAGCAACGTAGAACCAGAAATTAAAAAAACAAAAACAGTACTGATAAATACAATTTTCTCAAAGTGTCATTTTGTATCATAAACTGACCTTGTCTAGTTTCACACCAGGTACCAACATATCCTTGTGGACACTGACACACTCCAACTGTTCCACTGGCTACACATTTACCTCCATTGTAGCAGATGACTGTTCTGCATGGGTCTACGGACAAGATACAGCCACATTTATGCTATCTTCATCTGGCTGTAATTATTCTTGTTCTTTTTCTTTTCTTTGTAATTTAAATTTAGAATTACTAAATACAGTCGATTGTGGGCAGACCCGATTATCAAATTCACACAAATTGCTCAACCTAAACAAAAACAAAATTCCTTACTTCTATACATCTGATTTAAAAAAAAAATTGTTTCTCTTGATGATATACTGAAAGCTGTGTAGTCATACACCTATTTGGGCAGTAATGTAGATAAAGGTAGGGGAACCAATATAGATATACAATTACGAATACAAAATTTCGAAAGGAGTTTTTATTACATGATGGAATTAGTAGAAGTCAAAGGAAATTTAAACTAATGCTCAACTTAAAATGTTTGTCTTTAATGCCAAATCTGTATTGGTGTATGGGGCCGAACACGGAGAACAACTAAACCGTTACTTATAAATCACAAACGTTTATTAACTAGTGCCTGCACAACTAGAGGGCATTAAACGGTATGATAGAATCACAAATGCAGAGGTTTGGGAGAGAACTATTCAAATACAGTGAATCAATAGGCGAAGAAAAGACGCTGGTTTCTTACTGGAACCCACATGGTCACAGAAATAAAGACAAACAAAACAACATGAAGAGAGGAGAACCAGAAAGTGAAGTTAAAAGTTATTGGAAGGACATATGGTGAGCTGCGTGTTATAAAAGGATAGTAGAACTTTGCGTAAGTTACTTGAGAACTATGCTCCTTCTGGAGTTAAACTGCAGGATAAGAAAGCCACACGTTTATTTCTGAAAATGCAAACAGCAAATAACCAATACTAAACTGTTTGAAAAATCAAAATGGGGAAAAAAGGGACAACACTCATAATAAAACTGTGCAGGCAAATCACATTCTTCATTGTCTAACGCGTATCTTGACATCTGACCTTGTTTTGTTTCACACAAAGTACAAACATATCCTTGAAGACATTCACAAACAGCAACGTTTGCCCTGGTTACACAACGACCTCCATTATAACTTGCAAATTTTGTGCGCGGGTCTATGGACAGTAGACAACTAAATAATAAACTAAAAGAGGTAATTTAGAGTTCCAATAAATAAAATATGTAATGCATGATTAAAAAAAAAACATTTTATTTAGATGGTGAAGGTTCGGATTTGTTCACGTGGACTTCTAGCAATTTTCTCGCTCTCTGAGTAAGATATGACGCCCGTGTGTATTGTTGCGCACGTGAAAAATCTCTTAGCAGTTGGAAATTGTAAAAGGTAGCCAAAAGGTTTTGCCTGGGCAAAATGTGGAGTTAAAAAACTACCTAAAGTATTTCAGAATCCTCTCCCGTGCTACGGAGTTCGTGCACAGCGCTAAGATTCGTCTAACTCAGGCTTGAGCTAGAAGTAGAACGGAGCATTTAGAGCTTACTACCCATGTGCCATAATGTCGATCCGTTGTATAAACCAAAAACCAAAATACACTTTAGAAATAGAAACAATTATCTTAATCTTATCTTAATAGAGGAAATAATTCTTTGTACATCATTTGGCATATGGTGCCCCGTATCTAATTCTTAAGGCAAATGAGTACTGTGTGGGTGATGTGATGAATATAGATCAAGTAGTCCTTAATGTATCCAGCCATTTCTGGGTATGTACTGCAGGCCACGGTCTAACACTATGTGAACTAAAATCTAATGGCATGGTGAAGTTTTATATTTTGCTGTAGGCCGCTAAAGAAGAAGGCTGACATCAATCACCACCAGAAGACATTCGATCTTAGTTTTGTTTCCCTACCTCTACTTCTTCTTCAGCATTCAGAGCCCTTGAGGTTCATTGCTGCAGATATCACCCACCTCCATTCACCTCTCTGGTTGGCCTTCTTTTTCTTTTTATAGTTGGTGACACCAAGTGTTTGCAGGACTGTCTGGATGTTATCTCTCCATGGTCTTCTAGGTCTGCCTCGTGGTATACAACTATTCATCTGTCTCGTGTATCCAGGTTTTACTTCTCAATCATCTCATATTCTTTCAATATGCCCCAACTATTTCAGTCTATTAGCTCTCATGATGCAAGTGATCAGTGGTGATTCAAACAGATTATGAATTTCGTTGTTGCTTCTCACTCTCCATTCCCTGCTGTTGGCATATTTAATGGTTCCAAAGATTCGTCATAAGACTCTAATTTAGAAAACCTGTAATACAGCTTCATCTCTTTTAACTGTGTTTCAAGTTTCAGAGCCATATAAAACGACTGGTCTTATCAACGTTTTATATATTTTGGTCATTTTAATTCAAGTAGTCTTTAGCAAGTCCAATTTAATATAAACAATGTCAACGATTTATGGAAAGAGAGATATAAGAAGTTAACAAATAAGGATTTTCAAGTGTTTTAACATAGCACTTCAAGGCGAGATCACCTATAGTCATCTTAAGGATGGCAGAATAAATCAGGAACATTTTTTAATGTGCCAAAATGCATGTGCACCTGTCTCCAACTTATCTCCAATTATTAGGGCATCCAGAATTCCAGTACACTACACATAGTACATTATAATAATGAGGTCAATATAAAACAAAACATATTAGAAATAAGACGAAGAAGAGTTGATATCTGTAAATATCCGCATTATTTATACACTTTTATTCCAAGTATCTTTAACTGACCTTGTTTTGTTTCACACCAGGTACCAACAAATCCCTGTGGACATTGACACACTCCAACAGCTCCACTGGCTACACATTTACCTCCATTGTAACAGATGACATTGCTGCATGGGTCTGAAAAAAAATAACATCATAAAAAGTTAACTTATTATAAAAAAAGCTTTTATCTAAAGCTCATAATATAACGCATAATGGAGTATAACATTGTGCACTAAATTAAAAAAAAAAAATTCTCACATAGTCTATTTGACAAAAGAGATTGAATAATGTATGTTAAAAAATGTGCGGGCGTCCATGATAGTTATTATATATATATATATATATATATTTTATATATATATATATATATATATATATATATATATATATATATATATATATATATATATATATATATGTGTGTGTGTGTGTGTGTGTGTGTGTAATGAAATGCATATGTGTATACTATAACTAAGACCCAAGCTAGTAGGGATACAAAATTGTACATGAATTTTTAATGGATATATTTTCAACTCTTTTGTCCATTGAATGGTTTTAAACAAATAATTTTATTTTTTAGTGTGACCGTGATGCTGAGTGTAATGTGATATTTTTTAATTGAAATGTTATTTTTTTAATTACCAGTTTTGTTTTCTTTTATTTTTTTAGTCATTATCATTAAATTTTAAATTTGGTTTCTTGTTTTATGTGTTTTGTCTCATGACCCGTCTGTAAACAGCATATTATTTATCAGATTAACGGCGAAAGAAGAGTCGACTTATCAACCTACTAAAACAATATGTAACAAAAATCACATAGCTTTTAGTAAGGATTATTAGTCTCATTTTAACAAGAGCCAATTTGATATATGAGTATTGTTGATATCCATGATTTAAAAAAAAATAAAATAACCGACATTATTCTTCACAAAAAAAGTTCTTTTATCTGAAGCTCACGTACATTATAACACCTGTTATCGAGTCTAAAACTGACCTTGTTTAGTTTCACACCAGCTACCAACATATCCCTGTGGACATTGACACACTCCAACAGTTCCACTGGCTACACATTTACCTCCATTGTAACAGATGACTTTGCTGCACGGATCTGGGGACGAAATACAGAAAGTTATGCTCCTGTATGTAATTGGTAAAGCTTATTAATAATAATAACAATCATAATATTAATAAGATTTGATTTGATTTGATTCAAGAACCGACATCACAACACTAGGGGCATTCCCATAAACGCTCAGTCTCCATCTTCAGCAGCCAGCAAGGAGTTCTGATACTAATGATGCCAGTATCATTCTGATTAAACGTCAGTCTTGCCTTTCCTCTGAGCTTTGAGCATATGCCACAACCTCTCACCTTCCCCCCCCCCCCTCACTGCATCAATCTCACTAGACTGTGGTGATCTGTCTGCTCCTCCAAACTGTATACGATCTCCCACAACGCACTAACCACGTTTGCCTTATCATATATCAGTATTCCACCACGTTGTGCAGAGCCAGCCAGTCTGTCCGCCTGTTCATTTCCCAACACAGCGGCATCACCCAGTGAAGAAATCCAGACGATATTCCTCACCCGTGTCCTCCGCAGTGAGCCATGTCACTCAGCATGCTTTCTGAGTCAGTTACAATCACGATGTGTGTATGTGTGTGTGTGTGTGTGTGTGTGTGTGTGTGTGTCGTGTTTTTTAACCATCGGAAAGCTGCAGGGACCACTTTCAGCTCCATTTTGAAGCTGGATGTTGTGGCATAATATACTTGGCTCTCCTGCACAAAACGTCGACCAATAACTTTTGCTAAGAAACCCCAAGCACTTTTTTTTGCCTCTTCACAATGAACCGTCTGTGTAAATAATCACATCCTCTGAGCGAGCATTATCTTGAATTAATTGCTGAATTTCCACCTCTGTGGCACCTGCTGGCCAGTCTCTGCATTCCCGCTCAGCGTGATTATGACCCTACACAAGTCTGACTGTTCACGTTGCACTTTGACCCACTCCTCTCCTCGCCTAATGTTCTCAAGGATGAAAACCTGTCTGATTGTGTCCTCTGCCTGAGTATTCCATGACTTCCCTCTTATCAGCCGCTGACCCTTAACTGCACCTAGAGCTTAATAATAATAATAAAAAGAAGAATAAAGCAGAATGATAATACGCTTACCTGCGAGCCAGAACATCAGGGGTTAAAATCCGTGTATTGTGTCAGATACAAAAAAATGACCATGGCTTCTAGGTGACCCAGCCTTGAATCAGTACTAGGTAAAGTCTAGGGAAGTAAACGCAGCCGCGTGATGCTGACCACATCACCCAACGAATGTCGATTAGTCTACAATATGTAGGTATAACATTATATGCCAAATAGGCTTAAAGTCATGGAAAGGGGTCCTTTACTTTACATAATACATGTATGACCAGAAAGCCTACATTTCCTTATTGAAGGCTGGTCATATATTCTTGAACTCACCTTGTTTAGTTTCACACCAGGTACCCACGTATCCATAAGGACATTCACAAACTGCTAGATTTGCCTTGGTAACACAACGACCTCCATTATAACAGTAGTAGTTTTTGCATGGATCTGTGGACAAAGGCCAGTGCCTTGATGAACTGGAGAATGTAGTAAATCATCGGAAATGGCCGAATCAGGAATGTATGATATGCTTATGTGTGATATAACTCGGTTAAAATATAACAGACAAAAGTTAGCACAGTATTAGTTGTGTATCTTTTACATGGCACTGCAGAAAAAACACCAGCAATTTTGGCTCTCTATGATGCATCTAGGACATTTTACGTTCATTAGTTCGTTGCTGCCCTTAGAGCGAACTATTCTGCATACTTCGAGAGGAAGTCATTACGTGAGTCTTAAATGGTTATGGGATGGCAAGAAAATGTAGTTGGTGGTCTCTAAAGGTGTAATTTGACAGCAACATCGAATTTTATTTCTCCTTTCTTTAGGTGGTGCTAAGGGTCGCAAGCTCATTCGCAAGACAGAAACAAAATGGCGGATTTACTTACAGAGTGTACCCTCGAAGAACAACGGGTTTTTGGTACAAAAGTACAAAAGGGCTGCCTGCAAAAGACATTTATAAGGAAATGCTTCCTGTTTATGCTGACAAATGTTTATCCCATAAACCAGTCCACTAAAAACTCACGTTGGCGGGAGAGATTTCGCGAATGACGCAGAAGTTAAATGCGAAATGAAAATGTGGTTTAGAAAACACAGCACTCAGTTCTATGCAGCAGGATTGGGAGGATTTATAAAAGATGGGACAATGTTGGTGGAAATTATGTTGAAAAACAAAGGGATAGTGTAAGTGAAAAAAAAAAAAAACGGTTTTCAAGCTGTTATCGTTTTAAGTTTTTGTTTTTAAAACAACCATTTATGACTTACTTATTGACTTTTCCTCGTATTTCTTTTATTAATTTGATCACTAATATTATTGCTATTTTTTTTTTAAAACGTGGGTTGTTCCGCATTATCTTTTTCTTTTCTACTGCCTAAATGTTGTAGTTATTCACGTTCTTTCATGCTGGTCAGAATAATCTGCCTTTTGTTGTTATGGATGTTGTCGATAAAGGCTGCTGACAAAACGTCTGATCGTTCAAGTCTATGTGTTCATTCCTACTTCTCATCGTCGTTAAGCTTCTTAGTCAGTGTTCAGTGGATTAATTTCTACTGTCGACAACAAAGCAATGAAGTCTGCTGCCAAATCGTCCACAGCTGGGAAGGAACAGGGTACCTCGCAACGCTTACGTCACATACGCCGACTTAACAGGAATATGAAGTTGAAAAACAAAAGGGGAGCGGAAAAAAGGTAGTGGGGAAGGCGAACACAGACCTCGGTGAAAAAGATACAAGGCACAACTGTAAACGTCTTTTCCCCACCATTGGCTCACTGGTCATGGTGAAGACCAAAACTGCTGTACACTATTCATCACTGGATTGGTAATGCGCTCAGTATCTCGCCAGCCGTGTTTACTTTTCTCTCTATTTCCCGCCTATTTTAGGTTGGATAAATCTGGGTGCTAAAAGCAATTATAATATATCCGTATATATATGTAGATTTGAACTCAGCAAACTTCCCGTATTGGTTCCGGGCTCCATGGATCAAAAATTAGTTAACCTCCTACCCCCTTGCCCCCCAAAAGCATGTTATAATGAGTGACTGATTGGAAGTCTGCTGAAACAGGTTGTATTAGGTCGAAAAGAGCAAGTATCGCAGCATAGTTGTAAAAAAAAAGAAAAACAAAAGACCAAACGCCTTTTAAGGGCGAAGAAAACGAAGAAGAAGCCATTAAAAAAAAATGTACCCTTTATAAAATTTTAGCGACATCACAAAAAGGTTATAATCTATAGTAATAATTATCACCATCTGATGCAGCCAAATTTTGTATGCTGGGGCGTAAAAAGAGGGGGGGGGGGGGGGGAATAGACTAGAAATTGTAAAAGTCGACCAATTAGAAGATGTTTACTTCGAAATCAAACTGCACCTGCATGAGAGACGAAAAAATTGTCTGTACACATCTAAAGCGGATACTATAAAATATCTTTGAACTCAAACTGGAAGGGCAAGATATTTGCAACATTACCAGTTGAATGCTGAATGGCCTACACAACAATGTGTCCACAGCATATGTCCTATGGACAAACCTTACAGGAACTCCAACTCGACATAATAATATATATTAAAAATAAGTGGACCCACAAGAGTAGAGGACGGGTCTTATTACCATTTTATCACATACACCAGCTAAACTCACTGATACGCTCCACACTTACAGTCTAGGATAGGACGCCAAGGACCACGAGCTTATCAATAACAGTTCATACAAGGCAAACGTGATTATCTACACGGATAGGTCCGTTGTACGAGGACAAGAATGGATGGGCATTCACAGCTCGCTCTGCAGGCAGAGCAGTCCAGCAAGCCAGAGGTGCCATTTCTATGACTACCAGCAGCAAGAAGATATAGATGATGGCGGCGACACAAACTTTCATGTGGCTTTAATCACAGGAAATCTCCCACGTGTGTGTGTGTGTGTGTGTGTGTGTGTGTGTGTGTGTGTGTGTGTGTGTGAGGAGTGATTTTATGAGTATGATACAGCTAGGCATTGCAGGCTCTATACGCAGATAGTAGACTGAGTCATTGCGCAACTTCATTTTTGTCCCAAATATGAACATGCTGCTGACAATGAAAGAGATGATAGATTGTCTTTTCTGTCTTAGTTGCAGAGTGCCAGCATATGGATCGCGCTGACATTGCCAATGCATTTAGAGAGATAGGACGATATGAGGATTTTAGGAGCACCGTGTCCATATCACTGCTAAGTATACGAGAACTGAAAGTAAAGATCGGCAAGGCCATGAAGGCACACTGGAAGAAGTCTTGTTAACCAGCAAAGGACTTGCACTGTTAACCGCGGGACACCGATGTATATGCCGAAGGGGGAATCTGAGCACATATGGACGTGTCCGGAGTGCTGTGAAGAAAAACCTAAGTCATAACTGAATTCACTAGATATGACCCCTTACAGACCACCTCAAGACTAATAAAAAGACCCAGCTATGTAAGGAATGACAAAACGTTACAATAAGGGGGCATTTAGCCACTCACAATGTCGCATTTAAAAGCCATTAGATTGTCGCAATTAATACACTGCTAATATTAGGGTAATTGGCTTCTGGAATGTAAGAACCATGTTTGAAACGGGTAAAACCACCCAAGTAATTAAAGAAATACAGAACTATCAACTGCCTATTCTTGGAATTAGTGAAAGCAGGTGAACAGGGTTTGGACAATCCACAACAGATACAGGAGAAACCATAATATACTCTAGAAGAGATGATAACCTACATTCTGCAGGCGTGACACTTATTTTAAAGAAAGGTATACACAAACATCTCATCGAGTGGCATCCAATCAATGAAAGAATAATGACAGCACGATTCAATGGGAAACATGCCAAACTTACAGTCATCCAATGCTATGCACCGACTAATGAAGCTGAAGATGAAGATAAAGAAACTTTCTTTAGGAGACTGCAAGAGGTAGTAGATAAAGTACCAGCCCATGATATTCTATGCATTATGGGAGATCTCAATGCAAAAGTTGGTAACAACAACTTGAATAGAGAATTATCAATGGGAAATCAAGGATGTGGTACAATTAATGACAACGGGGAAAGACTGAGCGACTTCTGCACGGCGAATAGACTTGTTATAGGATGAACACTATTTCCTCACAAGAATATACACAACCTTACATGGATATCCCCAAACAGAAGAGATGTAAACCAGATCGACCATTTCATGGTAAACAGAAAATGGCGTGGGTCCCTACTCAATGTGCGTGTCAAAAGGGGAGCAGATGTGGGAAGCGATCATCACCTTGTAGTCGCTCTGCTACGAAAACTCAAAAAAGTTTACACACAAGTTAAGACACAGACAGCACGTTACAATGTTAAACTTTTAAGAGAAAAGACATTGCCACTAAATTTATAGTATAACTCAAGAATAGATTTCAAGCCCTATCAAGTGACCCAGAAGCTCCAACTGCAATCAGCATTTAAGTCAGATGGAACCAAATCAAAGAAACATACAAATCAACTACAACAATATATTAGGAACCAGGAAACAACACCACAAAGAATGGATAAGTAGCCAAACCATGGACTATATTGCCAAGCGAAAAAGAATAAAGAGCCTCATAAATCACACTAAATCAGAACGTCAGAAAGACAAACTAATATTAAAATAAAGCGAACTAACTAAAATGACAAAGACAAGTGCCAGAGCTGACCAGAGAAGATTTATGGAAAATCTTGCAGAAACAGCAGAAAATGCTGCTAAAGCACACGATCTACAAACCCTACACAAAATTACCCAGCAAATTTGCGGAAACAGAAACAATTATCACAGCATAGCCATCAGAGATAACCAAGGCAGACTGCTCACCACAGAACAAAAATAAGACATGCAGTGGACTAAACACTTCTGCGACCTCTTGAACACACCTGATCCTGAAAATCCCCCAGATATTCAACCAGCCTCTCAGGACATTGACATTATTACTGAACCACCAAGCAAACAAGAAATCCTTAAAGCTATCCACACTTTGAAGAACAACAAAGCACCAGGCAAAGACTAACTGCCAGCAGAACTTCTCAAAGTAGATCCCAACACAACTGCTAGCATTCTAGAACCATTGTTCAAGGATATTTGGGGAAAAAAGTGTTGCCTGATGACTGGACTGAAGGAACAATAGTCAAAATTCCCCAAAAAGGAGACTTTACAGACTGCAATAATTGGAGGGGAATTACTCTACTCTCAGTACCAAGCAAAATATTTTGTAAAATCATCATAATGCGACTTGAAAAAGGAGTAGATAAATGCCTACGAGTTGAACAAGCAGGATTCAGAAAGGGCAGAGGAACAACTGAGCACATCTTCGCCATACGTAACATTTTAGAACAATGCAATGAATGGCAGAGAAGCATAAATATTAATTTTGTGGACTTTGAGAAAGCTTTTGACAGCGTCCATAGAGACGGTCTGTGGACAATTTTACGACATTATGGAATTCCCCCCAAAAAAAGTCAACATAATTGCACTCTTCTCTAAAGACTTTTCCTGCAGTATAAAAAATTACAATACATCTTTCCCAGTAAAGACATGTGTAAGACAGGGATGTGTTATGTCATTTCTCCTCTTCAACCTTGTAATTGACTGGATACTAAGGAACACAGTAGACAGGACATTAAGAGGCATACGATGGTCTCCATTCACCATGCTTGAGGACCTTGATTTTGCAGATGATATAGCACTCCTATCACATAAACATGAACATATACAAAAGACAAGTAACAGACTAAACTGCACAGCAAAATGGTGGAACTAAGAATAAATACAAAGAAAACTAAGATCATGACAAACAGTCCAAACCAACAACTAGTGACCATAAGTAACCAATCACTTGAAAATGTAGAACATTTTACACATCTTGGCAGTGTGGTGTCCCTACTGGGATGGACAGAGGAAGACATAAAGTCACGCCTGAACAAAGCCAGAGCTGCTTTTGGAAGGATGAGGCAAATCTGGAAATCCAAAAGGTACTGCAGAAGAACAAAACTCCGACTCTACAAGAGCATCATTTTGCCAGTTCTTATTTATGGAGCGGAATGCTGGAGAATGACCAAAAAGGATGCACACGAGCTGTCCACCTTCCACCACACATGTCTACGTAGAATTATCAAAATGTTTTGGCCAGAAACAATCTCAAACACTAAACTACTTCAATCCACAAACCAAATAACTTTAGACAGTATGATTACCGAGAGAAGATGGAAATGGCTTGGCCACGTTATGAGAATGACTTCTGATATACTTGCTAAAGCAGCTCTCACATGGACATCAGAGGGAAAGAGAAAACAGGGGCGCCCAAAAACAACATGGAGACGAACGATGGAAAGTGACCTGAGTGCGGCATCTTTGACATGGAAAACTGCACTAAAGAGTGCACAGGACAGGAAAGCATAGAAAGTCCTCTCTGAAGCCTCATGTGCCACTAGGCATAACGAAAACTGAAGAAGAAGAAGAATATAAGGGTCTTTTTTAAAAATTAGTATAACATAAAAAAAATCGATACATATTTTTTGTGGATATCCGCGATTTAAAAACAAAATAACTGTACCTAATCGTCGTATACAGTGTCGTTGCCTGAAGTTCAAGTTCATATTTTTCTAATGGTTGTGATTGTATCTTGAACATACCTTGTTTAGTTTCACACCAGGTACCAACATATCCCTGTGGACATTGACACACTCCAACAGTTCCACTGGCTACACATTTACCTCCATTGTAGCAGATGACGTTCTTGCATGGGTCTGTGGTTAACAAACATATACATTCATGAACACTGTGACTGTTTATTATTATTATTATTTTCCAGTCCTTCTAGACTAGTGATTCTAACGCCGCGACCTTTAATACAGTTCATAAATGTTGTGGTGACTCCTAAGTATAAAATTATTTTTGTTGCTACTTCATAACTTCAGTGAATATGTGTTCTTCAATGGTCTTAGGCGACCCCTGTGAAAGATTCGTTCAATCCCCAAAGGGGTCGCGACCCACAGATTGAGAACCGCTTTCCGAGTTGAACGTGTTCTATTGTTCTACAAGAAGGCTTGAAAAACATAACTCATGGCTATAGCAATGAAGGATGTGAATGGATTGTGCCCTTCTTATGACCCAAATAGTGGGCACTTTTGAAGATACATGTGTTGAGATTTTTTTTCCTTCTATTTCTATTATTATGATTTTTATTATAAGGTAACAAAGTACAGGGATCATGGAAGACTCCCTAGAACATTCCCGTATACAGAGCACACAAATGAACATTTACTTGCTGTTGATAATTAACTAAGCACCAAAGGCACTGGATGAATACGATTAGATTAAATTTGTTTATTATCATCATCATCATCATCATCAACAACAACATCATCATCATTATCAACAACATCATTGACATCTAAGTTAAATTAGATATGTTAAATTTTCTGTATATTAATGGCACTTTCCAGAGCGGTATGTAAAATAGAAAAATAAATGTATTTAATGCTTTGTTTTTCTTTCCTAAGAGAGAAATGCAGGATTGGTTTTGGTGTTTCTAGTCAGGTGATTAATAAATATATGCTAGTGCAGTGGTAACGAACTCGCATAGGTCGAAACCTAATTAAAACGCAGTTAATTATCACAGATATGTCAAAGAAATCTGGATTAACAGCTAGTGAAGAAACATGACATTCAATTTTACGGTCATGCAAGACACGTAGTTTTGTTAATGCTCATTAGAAGAAAATGTAACAACAGAAGGCCTAGAATAGAACGACATTATGTAGATTTATGCAAAAAAAAAAAAGAAAAAAAGAAACTAAAGTAAAGTGAAGCGAGGCAGAATTCCCTGTTTACTTGAGTGACACACCGTTTATGTGACGTCAGACTCATATTTGTGTATAGCCATCGACACTCGGTAGGTGATTTGGTCGGCATCACACCGGCCGCCTTTACTTTCCAAGATTTCCAAATTTATAATTTAAAGACTAGGTCCATCATGGAGCCACGGTCATTTATGAAAATCAGTTTGGATTCGACGCTGAATCGAAGCTCAGATCTCTGGACCGCCATGAAAACGTCTAGCAACAATGCTATCGCGGCTGTATAGAAATAATAATACAAAGTGCTTAGTTCACCTTGTTTAGTTTCACACCAGGTACCCACATATCCCTGTGGACATTGACACACTCCAACAGTTCCACTGGCTGCACATTTACCTCCATTGTAGCAAATGACATTCTTGCACGGGTCTGTAACAACAAATAATGAATTAAATACACTGTTATTATTGAGGTTTATTAGCCAAACAATAAACAAATTAATATGTGTAAATCGTGGATATCCAAGATAAATAAAATTTAAAAAAATGTAATTCATTCATTCAGTAGCATGTCTCTCGCGGAACCTCGCTGCCATAACAACCCTCCGGAAAACCTTCCTATCATGAGCAAGATGTCCTGCGTCTGATACACCCATCTGGAGATCATCTGCCACATCCTGCACCCATCTTCTCCTTGGCCTTCCTCTTCCTCTCTTCCCAGACATATACCCCTCCATTATTGTTCTCTCTAGACTTCCATGACGTTTCAAGTGACCAAAATATTTCAATTTTCTTTGTTTTATTGTCTTTACTAGCCAACCCTCTTCAATATTCAGCTCTTGAAGTATGGATGCATTTGTTCTTTTCTTTACCCAAGATATTCTTAGAACCTGTCTGTAACATTTATATTCAAATGCATTTATGCGCTGTTCCGCTTGTTTAGTAAGTGTCCAGGTCTCACAGGCGTATGTTGCAATGGGAAAGATGCATGCTCTTAAAAATCTGACCTTTGTAATTCTATATGTACAATTCCATAATTTATTCAGTTGTTTTAGTCTTTGAAGAGCAATTGATAGTCGCCGTTTAATTTCTTTCATTGTGTCACCATTGTTGGTAACCAGTGACCCAAGATATTCGAAATTTTCCACCACTTCCAATCTTTCCTTATTAACATATATTTCCTTCTCCATGGCAATTTTGTTTGTATGCATTATCTTTGTTTTTGCTATGTTAAGAAATAAGTTATGATTTTCACTATTTCTTTGGAGTGAGGTTAATAAGTTTTCTAAACCACTTTGTGATGTTGATAGTAATACTGTATCATCAGCATAACGAATTTCTGGTATTTCATGACCACCGATGTTTAGGGCATCATATTGTTCCTTGTTTATATCATCTCTTACATTTCTCATTATATTTTCGGCGTACAGATTGAACAAATATGGTGACAGCACACATCCCTGACGGACTCCTTGCTTGATGCCAAACCAGTCTGATGTCCCTCCATCTATTCTGACTGCTGCTTGCTGATCTTGATAGAGCATTTTAATGAGCTGCACTATATGTGATGGAAAGCCCATATTCCTCATGATTTCACAAAGCTTCTGATGTTGTACACAGTCAAATGCTTTTGAATAATCTACAAAACATAAGAACAGATTTACATTAAATTCTCTACACTTCTCTATTATTAAACGCATGTTGAATATATGATCTCTTGTTCCTCTTCCCTGTCTAAATCCAGCCTGAGCTACATTAATCTCTTCTTCCATTTTCTTATGCAGTCTTCTCATTATAATTTTTAGTAGAATTTTGCTTGCATGACTGATCAGGGCAATAGTTCGATAGTTTGTACATAATTTCAGGTCACCCTTTTTTGGTATTGGAATGAAGATAGTTCTTTTCCAGTCTTTTGGCCAAATACCATATTTCCATATCTTTTCTCATAATGCATGATATATTTTTATGCTTTCTTCTCCTCCCGCTTTAATCAATTCAGCTGGTATCTCATCACATCCAGGTGATTTACCATTTTTCAGGCTCCTTATTGCCCATGAAATTTCATCTAATGAAGGTTCAGGTTCTGCCTCTACTGTTACTGGTTCATGTATATCATTCATATCCTCACTGTCATTCATATCATACATTCCGCTGCAGTATTCCTGCCATCTTCCTAGAACTTGTCACAAATAACATTTAACTGAGGTTGAAAATTTCTTGTCAATAACTTCATTTCCTTGAACATTTCGTAATCTCTTCCATTTTTATGATGCTGCTCTATTTTAATACAGCAATCTTGTACATACTGATTTTTATCCTTTCTTGTGTACTTTCTTATTTCTCGTGTTAAAAATTTATACTTCATCCTACTGTCATTGGTTTCTCCTTTCTTTTTCAGTTCCCTTCGTTGTTTTATTAGTTCTAACGTGTATGGTGTGATCCATGGTTTATGTTGTTTAGTCCTGGTGGGTATTAAGTCTTTAGCTGCTGTTATCAAGATATCCCTAGCATGTACCGCCAGTTCATCAGGTGTCATTTCCTCTTGTACAGACATCAAGACCTCAAAACGGTTCTTCACTTCTACGTTGTATGCATCTGGTATTTTTGTGAGATCAAATCGAAATGGCCTTGGTCCTCGGGTAAGCTTTTTGAGTTTTAATTTCAGATCTGCTTCTAGTAACTGATGATCTGTATCGCAATCTGCACTTCGCAGGGTTTTTGCAGATGTTATGCTTCATCTCCATCTTCTTTGTATTAAAATGTAATCTATCTGATTTTTGGTAACACCGTCAGGGGATGTCCATGTGAAAAGCCTTCTAGGGTGTTGTTTATAAAGTGTGTTAGCTATTGTTAATTCATTTTCTATGCAAACTTCAATCAATTTTTCTCCTGTTTCATTTCTATTACCCAATCCAAATTTTCCTAAAACGTGTCTCTCATTTTCAAATCTGCCTGTACCTACTTTAGCATTAAAATCTCCCATTATTATTATTATATCATTCTGATTAATTTTATTTAATGTGTAAAATGTAATAAAAAAGTATTTACAGCAATTGTCATAACAAAGTTTTTTTTTTCTGAATCTCACTTCAACACATTTCTAGTGGTTGTAATCGTGTTCTATAACTGACCTTGTTTAGTTTCACACCAGGTACCCACATATCCCTGTGGACATTGACACACTCCAACAGTTCCACTGGCTACACATTTACCCCCATTGTAACAGATGACTTTGCTGCATGGGTCTGTGGACAACATTCCTAATCATTGTCACTGTTTATTATTTATAGTAGTATTATTTCTAGTTGTTTAAAACGAAAGTGTTCTATTGTTTTATTCCAGCAAAACACTGAGGACATTCACAAACTGCTACATTTGATCTGGTTATACAGCGACCTCCGTGATAACAGGCGATGTTTTTGCATGGGTCTATGGACAGAAGAAAAATGATAAAACCCCGAACCAAATTGATGATGTAAACATACAATGGCTTATAGAAAAGGAGTGTACAATATACAACTATTATTACAATAATGATTGGGAAATTTGGAAAAGCGAGGTCTGAATCTTTTCAAGGGTGTGACTCTCGTAACATTGTTTTATTGCTAACCACCCCTCCCCCTCGGGAAGGTCAAAGCAAGGACTGTTAAATTGTTAACTTGTCATATGTTTGATTTTAGTCTTTACTGATTGCGAAATGGTCGTTGGTTCACATTCGCACACTGACACACTATTAAATGAAACCGAAATAGGCAGTGAGTACTGCTGATAGCTATCATATGGTGAATAGTTCTTTTATGTTAAAGTGACCTTGTTTAGATTCACACCAAGTACCAACGTATCCTTCTCGGCATTGACACACTGTAAAAGTTCCTTTGGCTGTACAATTCACCCCCCCCCCTCCCCTAATTGTAACAGGTGACCTGTTTGCATTGGTCTGGGAACAACACCCAATGATAACTAAAAGGTTGTCTATTATCAACGATTGTTCTATACAATAGTGGCACCGATACAAATAAAACATTGAAAGTTGGGAGTATAGCTCCTTGCCATTTACTGTGTAGTGGGATTCCTCAGTGGGCTTATGCATTTTTTTTTTAAACTGTGCAAAAGTAATAATAGCAACTATTATTAAAAATATTATTTACGATTTTATTTGTATCACTGTTTAAAAGTAAGAACCATTTCCCTCGCCCCTAGGTATAATGGGCATTTAGAATTAAAACCTATATTTAAGGCTGGGAGCCTAGGTCACTTTTGAAAAATAATCCGCCTCCAATCTGATTTAACCCACGACCTTCAGGTCGACAGGCGAGTGTATTGCAGCAACACCACGGTATCTCCTGTATTACTGTGTCTTGAAAATGTAGAACATTTCACACATCTTGCCAGTGTGGTGTCCCTATTGGGAGGGATACAGGAAGACATACAGTCACGTCTGAACAAAGCTAGAGCTGCTTTTGGAAGGATGAGGCAAATCTGGAAATCCAACAATTACTGCAGAGGTACGAAACTCCGACTCTACAAGAGCATCATTTTGCCAGTTCTTCTTTATGAAGCGGAATGCTGGAGAATGACCAAAAAGGATGCACACAAGCTGTCCACCTTCCACCACACATGTCTACGTAGAATTATCAAAATTTTCTGGCCAGATAAAATCTCAAACACTAAACTACTTAAAGCCACAAACCAAGAAATTTTAGACAATATGATTACCAAGAGAAGATGGAAATGGCTTGGCCACGTTATGAGAATGACTTCTGATATACTTGCCAAAACAGCTCTCACATGGACACCAGAGGGAAAGAGAAAACAGGGGCGCCCAAAAACAACATGGAGACAAACGATGGAAAGTGACCTGAGTGCGGCATCTTTGACATGGAAAACTGCACTGAAGATTGCACAGGACAGGAAAGCATGAAAAGTCCTCTCTGAAACCTCATGTGCCACTAGGCATAACGAGAACTGATGATGATGAATAGTAAACATAATAATTTTTATGAAAACATTAGATATAAAAATGAACTAACCTATACATGGTTAATAGGACTAATTAGCTTCGCTGAAATTATTCTAGGTCATTGGGTGGAAACATTATTGGGAAAAGAGAGGACAGTCCTGATTAACCGTTTATATTGTGAATGAATGATGTCTTAAATGTTCAACTGACCTTGTTTAGTTTCACACCAGGTACCCACATACCCCTGTGGACATTGACATACTCCAACAGTTCCACTGGCTGCACATCTACCTCCATTGTAGCAGATTACGTTTTTGCATGGGTCTGTGAACAACACATGATGATAAAATTTATGATATTATTAACGACTGCTATTATAAAACGGGGGGGGGGGGGGGGGGGGGGGGGGGGGCAACACAAAGAAACATTGGGGAATCGGAGCTAGTTTCTAGCCCCTTATAATTTTTAATATGGGGCAGGGGTTTTCAAAGAACTTTCGGCTTATTTAAGTACACAAAGTTAATAATAATTAATAATATTACTTATATTTGAAATTATCACTGTTCTAAATGGCGAAAAAAGCATAATATAATTTTTTTAATGCAGTAACATGAACCGTATAATTAAATAGTTAACAAGAAAGCTATGTGTGTGTTAAGGGAGCTATTTAGCCACTTTGCAAATTTCTAAGAATTGTTTGGCTTGGGTGGCTCTGTCATAAAATGAATGCGGGCTGGGTAAATGGGTTTAAAGTACCTCAGCGCCCCACCCTCTTTTCTAGGTTGTTGTACTCTTGCTATTTAAAAACTATAATCAATATGTGTATTTTGAGGATATCAAAGATGTTGATAATATTGAACTTACATTATTCATTATATAATTGTTTTTTAAATTAAGTGGTTGTTTCTGAAAATCGAAATAATATATTTTTAATTGAATATTATTATTTCGTGAGCTCACCTTGTTTAGTTTCACACCATGTAGCAACCTATCCTTGTGAACATTGACACACTCCAACAGTTCCACTGAACCTCCTTTTAATTTTCTTTGTTTTGAGGTTTCTTAAGTAAAGTAAAGGACCCTTTCCACGCGTTCAGGCGTATTGGGTATACAGGGCTAGACTTACATATTTTAGACCAAACATAACTGGTTGTGAGTTGTAGTCAGCATCCCGCCGGCCGCCTGTAATTCCCACAATAGCTTTCGATTTTTATGTTGTCTAGTGAACCCACGGCCTTCCGGCCCGCAGGAGAGCGTCTATGCGCTAGACTACCACGGCTCTAGCGCAGTTGTAAAAATAATAATTATTTTAATTTGTCTAATTGTGGGTCAGATGGCAAATAAATGTAAAATGGATTAAAATGAAATACTACTATACATGGTTAAGGAGCAACATATCTCGGCTGCATTTAAAAAAAAATGGTAGGTGAGTGTTGGAGCTCTACCCCTCTACTTTTTGTGTGTCGGATAGAGGAGATTCCTGTAATCACCAACCGCTCAGGTGCGTGGCTCTGCTACAGCAAAAAAAAAAAAAAAATCCGATATCTGGTTACTTTAGATATTAAAAATATTTTTAATATTCAACTGTTTAGGAACATATTCCTTTGGTTACACAAAAAACCTCATTGTAACAGGCCATTTTCGTTTTTGTAATGGTTTTGTGGATAAATTACAAAATGCTCATAAATTGAGCATATTAAGTATATATATATATGGGTAGTTTTGCGTTCCAGAAGATTAGATCTATAAATCGTGGTTAAAACACACATTAGTACATATAAAAGTACTGTACATAGATCGATAGGAAATTTAAAATATTCAGTGTAACATCAGTTACAGATCATCATGATCACTGTGTGTCAATTGTACCGTCTCCACAATGAAAGTTGCTTGCACTGGAAATGTAGATCCATTGTTGTATTTGAGAATATGCCCTGGCGAGGTCCAAATCCCTTTGACGGTACCACTCTCATAACCTTATAAAACAGCCTGCCGAGGAACTCAAGCGCTTGTGTTTCGACGCTTGTGAAAGTGTTAACTGTCCATAGGCTTAATTTTGTCTTTAATGATTCCAAAGCAATATTCGCTGGCTTGCATTTGCACATTAACACACACAACAGACACATAAAGTCGAGAGGCTTAATTTTGTCTTTAAAATGATTCCAAAGCAATATTCGCTGCTACACATTTACCTCCATGGTAGCACATTTACCTCATTCTTGTGACAATATCAACGCCCCCCCCCCCCCCCCACCCCCTCCCCCGATATCTGCAAGTGATAGTTTGAAAAATGACTATATCTGGAAATTCTTAACACCTATGAAAATGGCAGGGGAAAGGGATTGGTACCTCATCGTGATATATTGCCAATAGACAGCCCTGCGTGCACCTATCAGATCTCTTTTCATAGGTAGTTATTCGGTGAAGAAGAATCCATATTTTATCAGATTCATATACTGACACTAGGTAGACTGGATGTTTCACAAACAAACAAATTGGAATTTGCAATGCATTTTATTAATCAGCATCGCCTGTAAGTTAAATAACAAATGATCAGTTGTGACCATTAGCATGGCACTTCGGACGGATCCTTGGGTGTTCTGCTCACCACACTGATCTGCTCTCAATAAGCTCCACACGGACCTCGAGACCACTTAGCCCTCCAAAACGTCTTTGGCGCTTAGTGAAAATTCACGCCTGTGCCTGAAAGTCCATTACAGGACCAGACACAGCAACTGCAGTGTCAGTCAAATAAACAACATGCTCCGTGCCTTGTTTATCTGCATGATCCGACACAAAGTTAAAGTTACAAGTTAATGTATACAATGGTTGGGGTTGTCAGGCGTAAGACAACGACATTCAGTTAGATTCTTCAGAGTACACTAATTACTCTGCATATTATAAAATGCTTTCTATATTTGTGAAGATAATCACATTTATTCCAAGTCGCTGACGACATTAAAAAAAAAAAATACAGATGCGCAAGTCTTATTTTTCAAACAGCAGTCCTGATTATCTTTCACATGATGAGATTATTTAACACGTGAACTAAACAAACGAAAAGTAGTAGCTAGCACAGTAGCTAGCCACTTGTTATCGTGATCTAAGGTATATAATTTGCATGAGAGGGGACTTTTTACAATTGACTGAGAGCTCCCAAGTCGACATAATTTGAAATGGGTACCAGGAAATATCACACAAAGTAAAGGCGACAGACGCGATGTTGGCCACCTCAATTATTGCGTGTAGATTGGTATATAACTGATATGTCTAGCATCATATAATCAATGTACCCAATTATGTGACAGGAATTATTTACTTCTTCTTATAGTCTATGCCTTTGGGCTTTGGTACGGTAAAAGTAAAGGAAGAGGTGAGAGAATCGACTTCATTACACTAGGTTTATCCCGTATGGCTCATTCTCTATGGGGTTTCCCATGCCTCTTTTCCCATCTAGATTGCTGAATGTAATCCAGTTTTCTCATTGTCATGACATGGTCAAAGAATGTAGCTTGTATCCTTCTGATGTAGGCAATCCGTTCTCTTCGCGAGTTAGTGTAAAGCTACAAAAGCCAAATAAGTTTGTACACGAACATGCATTGAAATAAATAAATAGATATGTGAATAAACAAGTGAGGCTGTGAAAATCAATGACGGGAATGTCGTGTTCAGAAGATTAAAACAAAAAGCGTAATGATAAGTATCTTGAAAAAAAAAAAAAAAAAAGGAACAAAAAATTAATTCAAAAAGAGATAATTTTATTGCAGTATGAAGAACCCTGCTGTACTCTCAGTACCAAGCAAACTATTTGGTAAAATCATCTTATGCGGCTTGAAAAAAAAGTGGATAAATACCTACGAGTGGAACAAGCAGGATTCAGAAGGGGCAGAGGAACAACTGAGCACATCTTCACCCTACGTAACATTTTAGAACAATGCAACGAATGGCAGAGAAGTATATATAATAATTTTGTCAACTTTGAGAAAGCTTTTGACAGCGTCCATAGAGACGGTCTTTGGAAAATTTTACGACTGTATGGAATTCCAGAAAAAAAAATAGTCAGTAAAACAGGTGTAAGACAGGGATTGTTATGTTTTTTCTACAAAAGATTGGATACTAAAGAACATAGTAGACAAGACATTGAAAGGCATACGATGGACTCCATTCGCCATGCTCGAAGACCTTGATTTTGCAGACAATATAGCACTCCTATCAAATAAACATGAACATATACAAGAAAAAAGTAAACAAACAGACTACACAGCACAGTAGAAATCCACCTTCCACCACACATGTCTACGTAGAATTATCAAAATTTTCTGGCCAGATACAATCTCAAACACTAAACTACTTCAAGTCCCAAACCAAGAAACTTTAGACAGTATGATAACCAAGAGAAGATGGACATGGCTTGGCCACGTTATAAGATCGTTCCTGATATACCTGCCAAAACAGCTCTCACATGGACACCAGAGGCAAAGAGAAAACAGGGGCACCCAAAAACAACATGGAGACGAACGATGGAAAGTGACCTGAGTGCGGCATCTTTGACATGGAAAACTGCACTGAAGATTGCACAACACAGGAAAGCGTGGAAAGTCCTTTCTAAAGCCTCATGTGCCACTAGGCATAACGATAACTGATGATGAAGAACCCTAATTCTCAATTAGTGACACTGACTAAATCACCTTAGCAGCTAATTTCATATATTTCTTGATTTTCTATTGCTCAGCTTGCTGTTGCTGTCTGAAACTAACCTTGTTTAGTCTCACACCAGGTACCCGCGTATCCCTGAGGACATTCACAAGCTGCTGCATTTGCCTTGGCGACACAACGACCTCCATTGTAACAGTTGATGCTCTTGCATAAGTCTGTGGGGAGCAAAATGGGGACGGGGGAGGGAGGGGTGTTGTGATAAACATACTTTAGCAAAAGGAAGTGGATGACACATGACGGAACGAATGAAGGAGCTGACATTTTTGAATGAAAACAGAAAGTATAATACTCAATCCTTTCCAACACTATTTTTTTTTCCCACACAGCAATTGTATTTTATCTTCTTCTTGTTTTCTGGCGTTTGTCGCATCAGAGACCGGTCCCCATTGCAATCCGGTAGACGACTTCGTCGCCGGTCGGAACTGTATTTGGGTCTGTCTCCTTTGATCGCATCAACATTGCGGAAGTTCTTTTCAGAGCTATATGGCGCAAATAATCTAGTGACATTTATAACCTAAAGCTTCCCCTTTGAGGATGCTAGTTGAACGTGATGATCTTTCTTTTCGCAAAGCGAGCCAAGCAAAGGTGTTTACCGGCTGTAAACTCCTTAAAAGGGTGAGGGGGGAGGGTAGGGGGTAGGGGGGAATTCTGTCTGCTAGTCCACTTCTAGACCAGTCATTTAAGGAACGTGAGATTTGCGCGCATCCGTTTTACTTGTATGCAGACTGTTGTTTTCTCGCCTCTCAGTCAGATGCATTCCGACTTCAAAGGAAATACCCCTAATTAGTTGACTTTGACAATCTGCCTGTTAGGGCGGAAATGGTGCTATTCATTTTTTTTTAAATTTGATCTAAAAGAATGTTATGATCATTGCAATATGCGTAATGTGAATATAACGTAAAAACAAACTGAACTGCAAAAAATGTTTTTCAAATTATTTATAGTCAGTGGGCTGCCCAGTGTTGCTACAGAAATACTATCCTTATCAATGGGTTGAGTTAATGAAACAATCTATGATCACTACTATTCTTTATATTTTTTGTGCCGTTAAACGCCCCATGGAGCTCGTAGTCTATCCTTCTCTTTGATCATGTGTACTTTTTTCAATATCATGAATGGAATTCAGTCCAGTACCTTTGGTTTCACTCACCAGCCTCAGTCTGAGTGTGTGTGCGTGTGTGTGTGTGTTTTTTTTTTTACACCCCTGCCTGCTCAGTCCACGTGTTTCCAATTTAGGAGCATGTTTGGGTATTCTCTCATCGCTTCTCCTCTGGATGTCTCTGGTTTATTACCACCTTCCTTGTTGTATAACTGCTGACAGCAGTGCACCTGCGTCTATGAAGTATATTCTTCGAGGAAGAATGAATAGATCGGAAAATAGAACCAAGATGCCAGCGAGTCAGTGCACTCATGTACTAACTGACACCGTTATTAAGACACCAAAAACAAGAATGAGCGTCGAAAAAAAAAAAGAATATAAACAGCATATTCACACCAATACTGTGCTTCCAGTGTCAGACTTGGGCATTATCAAAGGCTAAGCTACGTAAAATTACCACACACAAAAATGAGACCCCTGAGAAAAGCCGCCAACTTAACCATCTGAAGCAAAGTTGGAAAGGATATTATCAGACCGTAGGAACAGTACAATGCAGCAAATTCATTGAGAAATAGAAAATTAAATGGTTTAGTCATCTAGTAAGAATGCAGCCAGAACAACTACTAACTCATGAGCCACACATGAAAAAATCTTAAGTGAAAGCAAGAGGTGGCTCTAGTAGAGTACGGATTGATGACGTTAGAGAGCTTCCACGTTGACATGGAATGGCAATAACCGTACTGTCCGCCAATCAATGGATCCCAAACTGTTCCTTCCCACAGCGGTTAACGACTGAAGTGGAAATGGAAGATGACGATGTTGAAACTAGATTTCTAGATATTTATCTCATTTCTTCACCTTTTTGAAATTCAACAATTTCCTCAGCAATGTGTTTGAATAGTACTATTTATTTTTTATTTTGCGTTTTGTAAGCTGGGATACTCTGGCGTTGAATGGAATTATAAACCAAATGTTCCTTATCGATTCTTTGCCAGCTTAATACTGCAAAGCACACATCTATGTTACTTAGCCGTTTCGGCTTTCCTGATTATAACTGTTTTTTAAAAGTTGAACGGGACACGTGAAACATGTCGGTAATACAGTGTTATGCACCAACAAATGATAAAGATGCATCTGTTAAGGAAGAATTTTACATGCAGCTTCAAAATATTATAAATAATGAAAGAAAGGGCAACTTAAACATTTTGATGGGTGACTTGAATGCTAAGATAGGATCAGACAACACAGGTTATGAAGAAATTATGGGGAGACATGGTCTAGGAGTAATGAATGAAAATGGAGAATTGTTCACAAATTTTTGTGCAGGTAACCAGTATGTTATTGGTGGAAGTATTTTTCCCCATAAAAGAATACACAAGGCAAAATGGGAATCACCAGACCATAAGACAACTAATCAAATTGACCACATATGTATTAACAAAAAGTTTAGATCATCCCTTTACGATGTTAGGGCTTTCAGAGGTGCCGATGTATTTACTGACCATTTCCTGGTGATAAGTAAAATCAAGTTGAAACTAAAAAGATATATAACATCTTATAATCATAGAAACCAATATAATGTAGGCTTTCTCAGAGATAAAGAAATTAAGGAACAGTTCTCAGTTACGGTCTCTAATAAGTACCAGGTGTTGCAGCAGTTAGCTGAAGATGTCAACACAGAAGTCTGCTGGGATCAGATCAAAGGAATCTGGAATGAATCTGGCGTAGAAGTTCTTGGCAAGAAAGAAAGGAAACATAAAGCATGGATAACACCAGAAACCATTAAACTGATTGAAGATAGGAAAAGTAAAAAGGCAGAATTAAACAATAGCAAAACTAGAGCTGCTAAAGCTAGAGCTCAGGAGAATTACACAGAAGCCAACAAGGAAGTTAGGAGGCATATAAGGGCAGATAAAGTGAAATATCTAAATGATCTAGCACAAGAAGCGGAGAGAGCAGCAGCAAAAGGAAACCTCAGAGAACTTTACAGTAACACAAGAAAATTAGTAGGTAAATATAGTCAGCCAACTGAATCAATCAAAAATAGTCAAGGAAAGGTACTTACTAACACTAAAGATCAAATGGACAGATGGGTTGAATATTTTGAAATGCTTCTAAATAGACCAGGCCCAGAGGTTCCCCCAGATATCCAGCCTTTAGAAATGGAACTGGATATCAAATGTGAGATACCATCCAAAGGGGAAATTAGAAAAGCTATAAATCTTCTCAAGGAAGGAAAGGCGTCAGGCCCAGATGGTATCCCAGCTGAAGCCATCAGGACCAACATAAACACATCAACAGAGTTGCTACATAGATTATTCAGTAAAGTCTGGGAGACCGAAGAAATACCAGCAGACTGGAGAGAAGGATATCTTGTGAAACTGCCCAAAAAAGGTGATCTACAGGAGTGTGGAAACTATAGAGGAATTATGTTGCTGTCAGTTCCTGGAAAAATATTAAGTAGAATTATTTTGGAAAGATTAAAAGATGCTATTGATAAAATGCTAAGAGATGAGCAGGCAGGTTTTCGGTCAAACAGATCCTGTACTGATCAGGTAGCCACATTACGTATTATAATAGAGCAAAGCATTGAACTGAACTCACCACTTTACATTGGATTTATAGACTATGAAAAAGCATTTGACAGCATTGATAGGGAATCTCTCTGGAAATTGATGGGGCACTATGGAATCCCACAGAAAATTATCAACTTAGTAAAGGCAACATATAAAGACATGAAATGTCGAGTTCTTCATGAGGGAAAGCTAACAGATGCATTTGAAATAAAAACAGGTGTGCGACAGGGATGTCTTTTGTCGCCTCTCCTATTTTTACTGGCTATAGACTGGACTATGACAACAGTAACTGCTAACACCAAGAATGGAATTCAGTGGACCCCTACAAAACAGCTTGATGATCTAGACTTCGCTGATGATATTGCCCTTCTGTCCCATTCACGGAATCAGATACAAGATAAATTAAATATACTTAATGCGAGATCACAGCAGCTTGGTCTGAAAATCCATAAAGGAAAGACAAAGATAATGAGAATAAATCAGGCAAATAGTAATGTGGTTTCTCTTAATGGCACCCCACTCCAAGACGTGAAGTCGTACACCTATTTAGGCAGTAATGTAGATAAAGATGGAGGAACTGATAGAGATATTAAAATAAAAATACAAAAGGCAAGAGGGGCTTTCATAGCACTAGGGAATTTGTGGAGGTCAAAAGAAATTAAAAGAAAAATTTTTAATTCTAATGTCAAATCAGTACTATTGTATGGGACGGAAACATGGAGAACAACGAAGGCAATTACTAATAAATTACAGACATTCATTAACTAGTGCCTGCGCAGAATAGAGGCAAAAAAAATGGTATGATAGAATAACTAATGTAGAACTTTGGGAGAGAACTAAACAGGCTGCAGTGAATCAGGAGGTGAGGAAAAGACGCTGGCGTTGGATAGGGCACACACTGAGAAAACAGGAGAACAGCATAACTAGAATGTCTTTGCATTGGAACCCACAGGGGCATAGGAATAAAGGAAGGCCAAAAAACACATGGAGAAGAGAGCTGGAGAATGAGGTTAGAAAGATTGGGAGGACATGGGGAGAGCTCCATGTAATGGCGAAGGATAGAACGACTTGGCGTGAGTTGGTTGAGGGCCTATGCTCCATTGGGGGATAAAAAGGCAGAAGAAGAAGACCTGACCCCAGTGTTTTCCACGCTGCTTTCAGAGCCACCATTAGTTCATTACTGAATTCGTGCGTAGTTTGGGGCCAATATGCAAAGTTCTACAGTCATTGCGCCAGAATGGCCGTAAAGAGAATGGAGAAATGCATCGTTGTAAGAGGTTTGAGGTTTGGGCAACAGATCAACATCATGGCACACCGGTAGTAACCCATAAGTGCTCCGTTCTTCTTCTAACTCAAGTCTGAGTCCGAAGTAGCTTAGCACAGTGCACAGGCTCTGTAGCACCGGCGAGGATGCTGAAATACTTTGGGTAGATGTTCAACTCCAAATTTTGCCCGGGCAGCGCCGTTAGGCTACTCTTTT